TGTCTGACCTGTAGCTCGCCTGGCTCGCACCGTGCAAATGAATGTATACATTATCGTGTGCTTAAGCAGCGTCGCTGTGTCGTCTGTTTTTTGTCAGCTGAGCTGCGCGATGTGTCAGACGTGCTATTCAACAGCGTTGTAAAAATGGCGGATATGTGTCGCCTCGCTTCATGTTTATTTCGACTGAAAATCTTCACAGATCATCAAAATCAACAAGAAGTAAGTATTATTAGGTGCTTTACTATTAAATATTGATGAATGCTAGCATCAACACTTGGCCACAAAATCACCCAGAAATGCACTTGATCATACTTTGAAACTTCGAATCTAGGTGTGCTTCTCTAGATTCTAGAGATTCTAACCTTGCATTACCAATGTAAACTATCGCCGCGCGCAGCTGCAAGTGTGTTTGTGTGTGTGTGTTGGGGGGGGGGGGGGGCTGCACTTGGCACATGACGTAAAGAAGAGTTGTCCCGTCTTGGTATAATTGGTCTTGGATTACACAGTACCTAAATATGGCAAGGCAGACCCGTCAGTTGCACACCTACACACGTCAACACACAGTGGGGCTGTGCTGACACGCACACTGCGTGCGCCAGGCGAGCTACAGGTCAGACCTACAGAGCCACTCTGGGACCGGCCTTAGGCTACTGGACTCGTAATCGTGAGATTGCTGGTTCGGGGGTTTGTGCCTCAGCTCGGACTGACGACGTTGTGTCCTTGGGAAAGTTACTTTACACGAAATTCCCATTTGGCTCTGTTCTTTCGGAGATGTTTTATGTTTGTTACTCTTCTGGCGCTCATATGACCTGATGCTGTTGCGAGCGCCGTAAGACCACTACTGAAAAGAGGTTTCTCTAAACTAACTTAACCCTTTCCCCACCGGCTGGGTGTAGTGCACCCACCTGACCACTTTGTATGGACATAACTCCGAATGCGTTCAATCTACACACTTGTGCTTTTATGTAATCCTCAAATGTGGTGTATTTAACGCTGTGATCTATCGTATCAGAAATGTTCATATGATAAATGTGTGGGAGATCGCTACTGTTCAAAATTTTTTATGTCGATTCCTACTGGGTGGGTGTTGTCCACCCATACACTTTTGTGTAAGGAAATACTGGCTGGGTGGTTCACACCCGTACACTTTCTATAGACTTTATAGAGAGAAGGATCAGACAGGTTATTGTGTGAAACAATCCCAACTAACAAGTGTCAAACATGCATTATGAGAAAAGTTATAGACGTCTAGAGGCATGAAATAAATGGAAATAACGTTTAATTTTCAACAGAAACTTGAAACATGAACAGAAATAAGGAGACAAGCTGATGGCAAGGTGCGAGCGGTGGGATTGGTGTTATTCAAAACACAATGCAAAGAAGAACTGGGTGGTCTTTACAAATGTGGCATTCACACTTCTGGCATCAAGGCTTTGTCTTCCTATCCGTTTTGGCCAGGCACAGTACACATCTCTTTTGTTTTTGAGACCCAGGAGACTCGTCATTTGGCTTGGACCTCTTCCTTTGACTTTGGATTCGAACAGGCGGCACTTGAGCGGGTGTCAGAGACTGAAGCACTGTCTCAGTGTTTTGTTTGATTGGTAGATTGAGCGGAGAGACAGCAGTTGAGCGCCGTATGATCTGCTGGACAACCATGATGAAGAGCTGCTGGTTGTCTGCGTGTGAAAGCTGGTCATTGGGGAGCTTGGCTAGCCAAATGACATTTGTGAGGCAATAGAACTGAGGTCTATGGTGTTGAAAAAGACCACAAGGGGCCACCTCTTTGTCTAATGTTTCACAGTAAAAGCATGGACCATTTGGTCCATTGCATCTACCCCACCTTTGGTTCTGTTATAACACAGAACAATTTCAGGCTGTCCATTGTACCCTGATCTTCCAGGAGCAGAGTGCATTGTACTGGGGAGAAGGGCATTTTTTGTTGTTGCTTTGATAGGAGAACAGAGATGCATTCTTTCTCAATACAATGCTGACTCCGAAAGAGTCAAGTTCCAGAAATGTTTTGTTCCTCCTAACAGTGCCTACCATAGTAAGGTTGTCTTTTACCAGTACTTCAGCCAAGTGAAGACAGGTAAAAACAATTGTCAGAAGTGATGTTTCTGCCACTGCCTTTGAATGTTTGAGTCAGCTTTAGGTTAGTGTTGGAAACAACGGCACTGATGTTCTCTGTGCTTGGTCTTGGTCCTATGTGCCTTTTGCCCATATAGGGGAAGCCTCTTCTAAGTGGGTAGCTGCTTTCAGAGTCACAAACCTAGAAAATTTCAATTCCATATATTCGTCTGGTTTGCTTGGGATGTGCTGGATGAAACTACATCATCCAGGGAAAGGAACTAGCTGTTCATCCACAGTGATGTTCAGCCCAAGGTGGCTGTGCTCAGCTAGGCTGGTGTGGAAGAAATCCCAAACATGGCGGATGGGAGCAAACTGACTTGTCCCTGGCTTGCTGTTGTATCCTGATCATTTGTCATGAAATCTGATATGATGCAGCAGGTGACTGGCTGTTTTTTTTTGGTTTCCGAAAACTGTCTAGGCTGTTGACATTAGGCCTCACCAGTCAGCCTACCCGTGTCACAAAAAGTACATGGAACCACGGTCGGTCACTCTTCAGCACTTGCATAGCTGTAATATATCTTATGGGACCCATACATTATTTACTAGAAAATGCCAGTGGGCGGCTGACGAGTGCACTGGTGTAGTTTGCTCCTTCTTTTCAATCAAACATCGGTTGTCGTTACCTCTCTTTCTACTTTGTGTTTGTTACACCTCTAATCTTTGACACTTATGACCTAATTGTGTTGCAACTGCAGTAAAACGCTTACAAAAACGAAAAATAATGCCGAATGCATTTGTTTACACCGCCCTGCACGTGTACATGTGTAAACCACACAGCCAGTATTTCCCTGTAGAAAATGTACGGGTGTGAACCACACAGCCAGTATTTCCCTGTAGAAAATGTACGGGTGTGAACCACCCAGCCAGTATTTCCCTGTAGAAAATGTACGGGTGTGAACCACCCAGCCAGTATTTTCTTATACAAAAGTGTACGGGTGTGATCCACCCAGCCGGTAGGAATAAGGTATGAAATATACTGGTGTGGAAAGGGTTAATACCGTAGTGTTAATTGGGGTGTTAAACTTATACCATTTCTCCGAGTGTCTGTGCTGCTTTCTTTTCAAGATTATCGTGCAGTGGAGTCTGGTCTTGAATGGAGTGGGTGATAGGAGGGTGCCTCTGATAAGTCCCAATTCTTTCCTTTTCCTCTTTTGTTTCTCTCTGTCTGCCTGTCTGTTTGTCTGTCTTTCTCCCCCCCCCCCACCCCCACCCCCCAAAGCATTATTGCGTCAAACCAAACTTTGGGGTACATCCTGATTTTCTTTACATGTATCCGCATTTACAGTTTAGAGAGGCTGCTAAAATGAAAAAACAACAACGAACAGAAACTCCCAACAAACAGATCATTCATTTTCTTTTCGGTTTACCGCTGTTTTTGGATTAACCGAATTAGGTTATAGTGGAACCCTCCCCCCCCCCCCAAAAAAAAAACAAAAAAAACAACAACAACAAACAAACCACAAAACAAAAACAAACAACAACAACAAAATAACAAAAAACAAAACAAAAACCAACGTGTATCCCTTAAACTCATTAAAAGACACGACAAAAAAGTGAATGAATGCAAAGTTTTACGATCAACGTGAGTTTATTTTCATCGAATAAACACACACTGTAGATAGCTACATAATACAGAAACCCACAACCTTCCCATGAAACAGGGATTTTTTTAAAACGTTTTTTTTTCCAAGTCCTGAATTAGCTCTGCTGAGGTCCGCTCATCACGGAAGAAAACCTGTGGCCGTACAGTCCACACACTGCAGGCTGGCCAGCCCTCACAGATCCCCGGGACCGTCCCCGGCGTGGCAGTCAGGAACCTGGGGGTCTTATTGAATACACTACACTAAAATATGATCCGTCTTGTGTCATTTTGATCCTTGTTATATATATATATGTAATATAATTATAATACATGTAGGCCTATATCAATGGCTGAACGCAAAAAGTGACTAGATCTATATCCACTTTTGGTCGAAATGGAATAATCAATACATGGGTAGTGAGATTTTAAGCCGCACTTTTATCTCTGTAAATATCTAAGCCATAGCTTAATTAGTTTTCGAGGCTTTTACATTTCTTTTTTATTACTATATTTAAAAAAAACAACAACTTTTATTTCAAAATCGTCAAAAGTTCATTTTCGTTTTTCCCGAAACTATGAAAAGTGGATCTACATGTAGTCACCTCTTGCACTCAGCCGTCGATATGTAACCTGATGCAGTAAGTTAGACGTCGGTGTCCTTGGTCGGGTTTTGCAACAGTTTGCAAGTCTGTCCGCTGAGGGACCAAAGCCTAAGCCTAAGATTTACTTCCCTGTGTTGAGGACCGGCCTGGCCACGTTGTTCTGCTTGAGACACCGGCGGTTGGCGATGGTGGCTCTCAGGACCGGCTTGTAACACGGCGTGAAGAAGTAGGACCTCGCGCCGCTCATGAACCCGAACTTGGCCCCGCACCCCTTCACCTGGTTCTGGTGTTTGAAGCCCAGATTGTGGCCCAGCTCGTGCATGTCGATCCTGGAGTAGTGGATGTCCCGGATATTGATCTTGACCAGAGAGCACTTGGTGTACGTTTGGCAGACGCCCCCGACGTAAGCGAGGCCCATAACTCCTCCCCCGACCCCGTGAGTGTAGAGCATTTTGTGATCCAGTGTATTCATGCTTCTGTGGTTTTTGCAGAACGCACTCAAATGTGCGCCCATTTTCTGGCTATTTTGGATCGGGGCGTAGTAGCGTGGGTTGGTTTTCCAGAGCTCCACATACTTGAGCAGCACGGTGAAGTCGGAGCCCACCTGCTGTTTGTTGGCGTACACGCGGCGCACGATGTTCCACTTGACGATCATGTAGTCTGTGACTTTCTGCAGGGAGTTCTTCCCGATCCTGTTCATGTAGTTGACGAAGTTCTTGTCGCAGAACACTCCGACCTCCACAGTGCCTTTCTGCATAGCTTGACGTCTGCTCACGGTGTCTGCGTCCCCGGTGACGTCATCTTTGTCTTCCACCACCTCCGGGAAATAGTTCTCCTCCTCCACCTCTAGAGACTCCATCTCTCGCTGATAGTTCCAGTAACTGAGGTCCACCTGCTCAGCACGGGGGTACACGATCCTCACACTCAACTTCCTCCCCTCCCCCTCAAAACCCTCTTCGTCCCGCTCGGCGGGGGATCTCTCGTCCTCCCCGCTGTCGTCATCGATGACGTAAGAAGCCTCCCTCGTGTGGATGACGCCGGACAGACCGTCGCACACGCTCAGACTGGCGTAGGCGTCCTGGTGTGATGTCACCTCGCCGGAGAGGTAGCAGGAAGCTCTGACCGTCACCGGCACCTCCTCTAGAATATCCTCCTCCTCCTCCCCCCCGGCCGTGGTCCTCACCACCACCCGAGACTCCGGCGTCCACACGCTGCCCTGTTCCAGCGAGAGGTCAAAGGTCGTGCCCTCTGACCTCAGCTCCAGCCTCAGGTCGTGTGTAGCGCCCGCCGCCTCACCCAGCTGTCTCCGGGAGAAGCTCTCACGTGACCCAGTGACGGGGTCCACCAGGTACAGGTGGCCAGTCACCGTCACCTCATCGCCCACCTCGCCTACCTCCGGGGACCGGCCACTGGTCAGCTCGGGCAGGGTCAGGAAGGAAGTGGCCAAAACCTGGACGGAACCAACCACAAGGGT